GTACAAAGCACAAGAGCGTTCAAAACATCAAACATTAACATAAATGAGGCATTAAGACCTGAAAAGAGACTAACGAATGCCACTTTGTGGTAAGACACAACTCACAATGTCCCAGAACACTGTGTATTCTTTGTTAGGAAAACGAGACCGAATCCAAATCTACAGTGTCCCTCTCCCCAAAATACCTTTGCACGTTCGATGACAAAATATTTTCTGCTTGTTAAAGACATTAACAATTCAGATTCACCCATCCCCTCTATTTCAAGTCAGAAAAGAAAACCTAAAATTTACTGCAATTACGTCTGTAGAAAAATGCAATGAGAACAACAGTTGTGAAATCTTTAAATAAGCCTAGGATCTCCCAATCTGGCCAATTATCCCCAAACTCCATCTGAATGGAGCAGACCCAAGACTCCGGGTTCCCTAGGCGGCGGCCGCTTCCTATTCACACGCACACGCGCAGCGGCCGTCAGTGACCGGACCTGGCGGCACGTCCATACCTGGCCTTGCGGGACCTCGTCCTTCTTGTCTCTGTCCATCATGGGAATCGGCTGTATCCCCAGCTTCTTCATCTCATCCCCCTGGGGAGACAGGGGGACCAGGCTCTCTCAATTTTGTAAACAGTGTACAACTTCGGTATTAATGAGTTCTTCCCTTCTTATTCATTGGTTTTCTTTGAAATTAAGAATGTTCCTGGTTATGGACCCAAATGAACGTCAGAATCATAAAAAGCATCATGCGCATTGCTGGCTTCTATCCTGATGGGCTTCTCCCCCTGCACGGACTACCAGACCTCAGCATCGCTCCCGGCTCCATTTTGTAGAAGTTAGGAAAGGTTAAAATAAGAGGAGACACAGTAAATGTGTGAGGAGGAACAACAAGAAAAGACCTGAAATAACCTCCAGGCCTTCATCTGACTTCTTTGATGATTCTCATGTGCCCTGGCTGGTGAGCTGGGCAGCAGAGGGGAAGGCTGACCCACCACGAAACAGCAGTCCACTAAGATGTGCCAGTAAAGGTACAGCACAGTGGCTACGGGGCATCGGAAAGGTCACAATTACACTTATTAAAGATTCACTGTGCTGCAGGCTCTGGGCTGGGCAACGTGTAAATACTTCATTTAATCTTCAGGAAATACTATGAGTTAGATATCATTATTCTCATTTTACAGATTTAAAAAATTATCTTATTCTTTTTATTTGTTTTTTAAGGTTAAAGACTGTTAACATCTCCTTCCTTAACATTCCCTAATTTTTTCCCTAAAACCCCACTCTCCCTTCACATTTCTTAATTATTTTATTATTTGGGTTACTTTAGTCAGGCTGGCTTTCAGAAATCAGAAGCACAGAACAACTAAAGCCCTCCTGGCTTTGCCGAGACCGGGCCTAGAAACAAGTCGCTGTGACCCTTGTTGAGAGTGTTTACGCGGAGGACAAGGGTACTTGTCTTGGCAGCGTGAAGGCACCTGAAGTCTAGCGTCTGCTCTGGTGTCACCGCTTCCGATGTGAACACCCGTAGCTGTCAGACTTATTTTCTCTTCTGTCCGATGTGAATGCAACTAACCGGGCGCCCTGCCCAAGGACCTTACAAGCCTAAAACATAGAGAGACTTACAATAAGCAAGGATCTGACTGTGGACCTAGAAACAAGGATCCAGGCCGAGGAGGGCGGCCGGGCACCCTGCCCAAGCGTGCGGGAGG